AAGCAACGAGGTGAATTCTCACCCGTGCTCGTGGGCAGCCCCGGAGAGCCCCCGGTGCTGCCTGTCCGCAGGCCAAAAGCTTTTTGTTTGTTTGTTTGTTTAAATGGAAAGCCCTGGAACCAGCTGCCCTCTCCTGAAATGTGGGGTTTGGTTTGTAGGATTGTTACCTGGTGAAGCTTAGAGACCGCAGTTTTAGTACCTGGTCTGGGTTGTTTCGGGAGGTATGGAGGAATTGCTAATGAAATTAAAAGAAAAAAAAAAAGTAATACTTTTTGGTTGAGTTGCTTGATGGGAGGAGCGAAAGAAGAATCTTTGGAAAGGCGGGAAAATGGCAATTCCAAAAACAGGGAATGGCAACAGAATGAGAGGAACAGGGAGAGTGGGAGGCTTTGTTCACGTGGGAATGGCACTAGGAGAATTGGTAAACAGTAAAAAACTAGTGAGAGAGAGAAAGGTGAGATGGAGAAGTTGCAGTAGGTGGTTGGGCGTGTGGAGTGAAGAGGGGGGTAGTGGGGGAGCCTAAATAACCTGGGAAAAGAGAAAAGGGGGTGAGTTTGGTCTTGGTTGCCGATGCCAAAATAGGTGAGAAGACATTGGTTCTAGCTGGAGATAGAAAGGGCAGATGCGGCTGCTTTATGAAAAGGAAAGCCCACATTTAATTTTGCAAGTCAATTATCTAAAGCACAGTATCTTTTTAGCTAAATGTGCCTATCCTGTGGCTTAGGCACGTGCCTAGCCTAGAAAGCATGCCAATAGTAGTGTCCATATTGCTGTCTATGGAGGATGGTCTACTGTTGTCACAGATTTATGTTCTTCAAAACTTTTTTCTCCCTTTTTTTTTCCCCTTGGAGTTGGTGAGTTACAGCTTTCAGTAGGTGACAAATGAATACGACTTTAGTTTGAGCAAAATAACCTTGAGCATGCCTTATGGTGCTTCTGGTCTGTTAATAAAATAGAAGCTGCAATACTGCTGCTGTGGGTTTTCTTTTTTTTCTTTTTTTTTTTTTTTTGGTGGGATAGCTATGCTGAACTCGCCTGAACTGGTGATGCCCCTTTTTAGGGGGAAGTCCTTGACAGTCCTTTCCAGACTTGTCCACTGTGTGAACATACCTGTTGCTGACTGAGGAGGGAATGGTGCTACTGGGGCTGCTCGTTCAGCCTTTAGGTTTACTGCCACCTTTCCAGACTCTGGCCAAATATCTTTGGTCCTCTGAGTCAAGGTTTGTATATTCTTTGACTGTTTTATTTATTTATTTTTGTTTTGCACAGAGTAGCATCACTATTTTTGGTATACCTGAATTCTGAAGTTGGTCCATGGGGCCTTTAATTTGACAAATCTAGAAACACTCCTTATTCTCACTGTATCTGATCATGGTCAAGCAGACCATCAGATGTTCTGCCTTTTTGTGTAAAAGGATGCAGAATAGGTTTTCTCCTGCCTGGTAGAAGGTTTCAGCTGGTGAACCCTTTAGGGAGAAGAATCTGTGATGATTAGTGTGCTTATACTTGGGAATGGAGGAGTAGAATTTCAAGCCTGTTTTTGAGTTTCTGGGAGATGGAAAGAAGGTTCCAATCAGTGATTTTTGATCAGAAAGGCTGTACCTTTTCATTCCTAGGTCAGTGGTACAAATTTGTTTTTGATTATGTTGATGATTATATTGTATGTTGAACTAGCTAGAGCACATGAGGCAGAGTTGATCCTGGCAATGTGCTTTTACAGTGGCTGCAGGAGAAGCCTGCCAGTCCCTAGGTAATTAGTAAATAATTTTCTGGCTGCATTTGAACCGACAGAGTGTATGGAACCCTAAAGTTGGATTTATTCTATAGCTTAAAGACAGCGATGAGTCTAGTTGCCCTCCTAATAAGGTGAGGGGGGAGATCTTTTCACATAGCACTGCCGTCGCTCCTGTGTTTTCTTGTTGCTCAGCCAGAAGCTGTCGGCATTCAGCGTGGAGAAATAATACATAGTTCTGTTGCTTTATATACTCATGTTTCATTACTTACCTTACTATCTGTTTTAGCCTATTGAGGGCTTTTCCCCATATGCCTCCTGCTTCTCATTTTTCTGATAGAGAAACTCTTTTGCTATATTTTTGCCTAAAACTGTCATTTCTTTCAGCAAGTGTTAGTATTTGTTGGTCTTTGGAATTCAGATTTAGCCACATTTAAAGTTAACCAAGTCGGGGGAGAATATGAAGAAACAATGTGAACATTCTGTTAAGGAGACAGAATTAAAATACATTGTCTGGTGCAGAAAAGCTAATGTGTGGACAGGCATACAGTAAGACAAATGACATAAGCAGAAAATAGATGGCATTAATGCAGATATTTATTTATTTATTAATCTGTGCAGTTAATTCACTAGAAAGCCAACCAAATGTAGGTACTAATCTGCAGATTTCCAGTTACCACTTATAGAGAAAAACCCACCTAACATGTTTGCATAACAGTTTGTGTGGAACTTATTAAGATAAAGCTTAAGTACATTAAGATGAAGCATGGATGTACAGTATGTAGCTGATTTTGTATCAGGATTCTCTTAAGTAGTTTGAAATCTTTCACTCTCTGCTTTTTTTTTTTTGTTGTTAGATTTCTGATCAGCTTGTGACTCACTAATGTGTAAGATTGCCTCTGGCCATTACTTGGCTTTGTAATTAGAAATTTTTCAATATTTAAACCCTCCTGCTTGGAACATACTTGCAGAAACAAGGTAGCAAACAGTGTTTCTGGGGATGGGGAGAAAACTGGGACTATGCAGTGTCATTAACTATCTAAGGAACCAAAGCAGAGGCAGTATTGTAGAAATATTTCTGGTGTCGTTTCAGGAACCATCTGGCTTGTTACAAAGACCAGCCATGGAAAAGTGGAGCTTAATGACGATTGCTGTTTTGTTAGGACTTACTGTACGCTGGACTGTATCCCTTGGCTCTTACTCAGGTAACAGATACCATAGTTTGTTAAACAGCCAGATGAAGGAGCTTATGCTAAGTTAAAATAAACTTATATGCAAAATCATAAAAGGAAGTAAAATGTTGCTTCAGCTCTTTTCCTATTTTATTGCTTCTCTGTTTCCTGGTAAGTAAATTTTAAAACAAGTCTGGCTGCTAATTTTAATGGCAAGGTACCATGACATGTTTGCAACTGAGAAGACTGTCCTGTGTATGCAGAAAACATATTCACACAAAATCAGTATGAGATGTCAATTATGTGCATTTTCTTATTTCAAATAAGTGCCTCAGCTTTCATACTATGCTTCCATGTGATATTTTTGGCAGATGAGCGAGCTACTGTATTTCTCCATTTGCAGCAGAATATCTTGATAAGTGCTCATCACAGAAATACGCTGAAAGCTGAAGGAATATTTTTTTTTCTTCCCTTCTAGACTCCCTACCAGGTTGTTTCTCCTCTTTAATTCTCAAATATAACAGAAGAATGGAGAATAAAATATGGTATATTAATACGCAGGTACAGAATTAGAGGAAAAACAGTGTACGTAAACAAAATAAATTTATAAATACTTTTTGTCATCTCTTTAGGTGCAGGGAAGCCACCTATGTATGGAGACTATGAGGCTCAGAGACACTGGCAAGAAGTTACTTACAATTTACCCATCAAGCAATGGTACGTAGTGCTATTATATTCCAGGTTGCAAAGGTGTAAAAGTAGCACTTTTAAGATTTCTGCCTTTTTTTTTCTTTCTCTATCCACTCTGAGCTATTCTAAAAACCCATTTGTGGTAATGCTGTCCCTGTTCTTAGACTGAGGTACAGTTTTCTTCGCAATAGAAACATATTAATGTTCAGAAGTTTATCTTATTAACTACCAAACTCTGTTATCTGTGTTAGTCTCTGCTGTAGTTGTTGCCTACTGACTGGGCTCTGATATTTACAGTATCACTTTAATATTAAACAGGCATATATAGGGAATAATATCACATATTCCATGCTTGTTTTCTTATATTCAGAACAAATTATGTTTTTTAAAACATATTACAGTAAACTACAGCATGATTTGTATTTGTTTTCCTTGTATGAGATTTCTCTGAGCCAGAGGACAGAATTTAAATTGCATTTTTTTCATTGCTTTTTACAGGCATGGCATATTTATTAAAAGGTACTTTAAAAGTATAATAAAAAGATATTTTTATTAATTAAAATGGAGATAGATTTTTGCTAAATATTATTGCATATAGATTTTTTTTTCTATTGGAGCTCTGAATTTGTGGAAGGTGAAAGTAAGAAACATACAATGTAACTGGAGAGCTTACTGCTGAATATTAAAAATGTATGAAAAATCTGAACTGCCTTGGCATGAGCAATCCTGGATAGTAGGATAAGTAGTAGAGATGCATCTTAAAGAAATATGATTTATCATCAGTTGTTCGTAAGATTCTTCAGGCAGCTCATATGGAATTCAAGAAATATCATTTACTATAATAAATGTCAGAAATGGGCTGCACTTGAGCGGAGGAACTGGAAAAGCCAAGAGCCTTGCCCCTTGGCAATCACAGTAGACTAGTCGATCTGTTTTACCATGAGATTTTAAAGGGCCAATGTCTTATTTTTGTTACTTCTGTTTTCCTTGGGAAAAAGCTTCTGTTTCTCATTTGGAAGAGGTGGCTTAATTCTAGCTGCAGCCAACCTCTCATGGAAATAGCAACAGCAGAACTGCTCAGGGGAAAACCCTTCCCATCCCTCTTGTTCTCCTGGGTGTCTTCCCAGCTAGGACTGGATAAGGTGGCTGCAGATGGCAGATCTCATTCGGGTTCCCAACCTCATGTTTGCTGGCTAGTCAGGGGGCCTTAGTCCAATAACTCAGTTTTCCTTTTAGGCAAAAAAAATCTCGATATACCTGCTGTGGCACTATTTCCTGCAGATATATGCTTTTTTTTTTTTTTGTCCATCCATATAATACCTTTATGTTTTCCTGCTTCCCTAGTGCTCAGTTACTTCTCAGTAATTTAACTTCCATGGACATTTTTTTCCAAGTTTTCATATCAAGACCCATGGAACAGAGGTAGTGGATCCCAAGTGTTCCTCACTGACAACAATACATTGTGGCCTGAAAATGTAGCCTGAAAATGTAGCAGGTGAAGTTTAGCTGCCCAGAAGTCATTGTAGCATAGGAAATGTGCCATCTGAAAAGGAATTCAGTATTGCTATAAGGAAGTAGTGTATAGTATAGTAGATTACTATAAATCACTAGTGAATTAAAATCATTTTGACCTCTCAATTGAAATGGAAATGGTTTGTATCTTCTTTTTGCATTTGGCAAATTGACTTCTATCTTCTGGAATAATGGCACGTATAGAAAGATAAAGATTTTTTTTCGTAGATGGAGGTGAGGATCTGATGAGCTCATGAAATAAAAATACCTAGAGTTACAGTAGATGTGCAAAGCTCATTTTGTGGAAGAGCTTCTCAGTTCTTCTCAAATTCTGATAATTTAAGATTTTTTTTTCTCTTCAGACAAGTAGGCACTAGCTGTTTTTGTGTGTTTGTGTTCTGTTTTGCAAACACAAGTAAGTATTTTGCATCATTTTTGCTTTTGTTCTCTTGCTCGAGACTTTTTGTTAGAGGAAAATAGGGCAGATATAGAAGGTGCTCACTTCCATTGGAGTGTATTGGTCAAAAAAACACACACACCAACTTTGCTTTAGTGTTCAACCTTTTCTCAGTCTGAAACTATGCTGGAAATGTAGATCTCTCTCTCTTTTTTTTTTTTTTTGTTAGGTACTTCAATACAAGTGACAACAATCTACTGTACTGGGGCCTTGATTATCCACCACTTACTGCCTATCACAGTTTTCTCTGTGCTTATGTGTAAGTTCATGATTTTAAATATTTATTTTTGTTGAGAGTGTAAAACATCAAGTTCACCCCTACATCTTCCCTCCTGCCCCCATCTTAGGAGAGAAACTGCTAGCTAGAAATTGCCATTTTGGGACAGCTGATGAAATAGCTTTTTGCTTCTTTAAAGCTAGGGAAATAGATTTCACATGTTTCCTTGCAGCTTAAAAATTAATACTGCTATTTTTCTGTCTTGAAGTTATTGTGGCAGGACAGTAGGGGTAGGTTCTTTTGTCAGCTTCTTAAATATTAGTTAATTTAAGTGTGACTTAGATTTTTAGCTTTCCAAATGAGCCATTGTGAGGCCAGTGATGCAGGGAGAAGAGGGCTGTAGGGAGCGGGTGCATCCCATGGGAAACCTCCCTTGTATTGAGAGCTGCAGTGACATTTGATGACTGGATACCATGTAGATAGCATTCTGTTATTGGAATACTTTTTCCACAGGGGCTTTACTGCTATTGGAATGAGACTTATGGAATAAGAATGTAGGTTAAAGTGCATAGCACAGTTATGTGGGACATCTATGTGAACTGTAAATGGTTTATATTTAATACTTGAGTATGAAAGGTATTTACAATTGTTTTTTCTTAAAGTCAGTGGGACTAGGCTGGAAGTAGTTATCTTGTCCTGATAAATATTGTATTCCATTTTTCCATTTTTTTCCTGTTTTCAACTTTTTATTTTTTAATTGTGGCATAGCAGCTAATCTCTGTAGTGTAAACTCATCTAGTGGTGAGGGAAACCTTTCACTGGTCACTATTGCTCTTTGAAATATTTCTTTTCATTCATCCTAATTCTTTGAATATGCTCTTGTACATGTCATCTTTATTGCCGAAAGGAATGTAAAGGGAAATGAGAACTGTCTACATTTTGATGTGCCTGTACTTTGTTTTACAGTGCAAAGTTAATAAATCCTGATTGGATTGCTCTGCACACATCTCAGGGGTATGAGAGTCAATCACATAAGTTATTTATGCGTGCAACAGGTAGGAAAATTTTATTTCCTTAGGATGATCTTACAAATTTGTCTAGGTTACAAATTTAGTGTTTTTATTTTTTTTTTGCAACTTTTCTCTCTCTTCACTAATTTCTGTTCAATTCTTTGGGTGATTTTGCAGATATAAGTGTTATGAACAGAGCTGCTCTTTTCACTTCTGCTCTCATATGTGAAACTGATAATGTTAAATGTACAGAGAATTTTTCAACTAGACTGGTTTAGTAGGAACTCTAAAATAATGCTACTTCCTGGTAGCTCAGACCCATTTTTTTTTCTATTCTGAGAGTTACAGATTTTATTTTATATTTAGCTTAGCTTTTATTGTAAAATTACTTAGCAAATTGACTGGCCTTCACTGACTTTACTTAGCAGGCTCTCAGAGATCTTTATTAGGAGTTTTTATACTTTATCTGAAAAGGGGACTTACTTTATATTTTTAAAGATGTAATTTTTATCAAATGCTAACCAGTTTCTGGAAATAAACTCGTAATAACAGAAAAGTAAAAATATGTTAACAGAAAAATAGAAGTATGTTTTACCAGTTCTATACTAAATCTCACTTTCATTCTGTCACTTTCTGACCACTTGACTATTTTGATCTGCTTCTGCAATGAAAAGGATAAAACAAGTGCAGAAAAATGTAAATAGTCTAATTCAGCAGCTGTATCTGTAGAGAAATGAATGATGTGGCCAGTGAACTCTAGTTCTCTGGGTGATGACAGATGCCAAATTGTCCTTTTACTGTCTTCTTTCATTCTAGATCTGTCATTTGCTACATGTGACTGTAGAGATCTATAAAATGCTTTCTCTTGGTCGAGTCCCTTTTTTACTGATTACGTTGGCAGAACATGATGGTCATCAAGGCAGTTCTGAACCTCACAAGCCTCACAATCTGGCTCCTAATAATTGATTAAGATGGAAACAAACTTGAAAAAAAAATCAGTAGTACTAAATTGCCCTTGAAATATTCTTTATTAATATTGCAGATAACTTGACATACCACTGATGCATAATTTAGGGGAACTGATAATGTTCTGTCAACAATAGCCATTAAAATCCCGCATTAAAATAGCTTGGAATGCTGAGTGGCAGCTGTTGGTGCTACACCTTTGCATTAAGTGTTGGTATATTTATTTTGCTAATGCCTTGGGTACATTCGTTTAGCTGTGGCTTGAGCCTGCAAAATGATCATCATATGGATAAAATATTGTATCTTTAAGCATCTTCTCTGAAAGATTATGACCCAGAAAAAGATTAAAGTATGCTTTTCTTATAATAATTGTACATTTTCAGAAAATGGATTATAGAAATAATCCAAGAATTTGACAAGCATTTAAGATGACAGTTGAGAATTAAATTGGTGGTTTAAGCACAAACAGGAGTTTCCATAATTCCAGACGGGCAAACCTTCTGGTCCAGTTATCTTGTTGGCCCTGTAGCATATGTTTGCTATCGGCAGACAATCAAAAACAAATGACTAATTTTAAACTACCGAACACTTTACGTTCACACAAAAATAAATTGGAGATTGCCGTAGTTGAGAGCTGCTTAATTCTCTGTGTTACCAGTGCCTTCCAACAACTTGCCTGAGTTTAACTGTAGCTGGTTTCTGTGGGAATTCAGAATGCCTTCCCTCGTTCCGGCATGTGAGGAACTAGCGTGTGCTCCCTTATTGACTGAGGTTGTGCCAGCAGCCAAGACAGCTGAACGCATGGAAGCAGCAGCTTTGGGGCATCAGAAATGATAGCCATAGAAATGTTAACAAGATCAAATTCTGTAGACATGCTTCTCTTTGTCCTTTAAAGGGAGACTACCCAGTCATTCTGATGATCTTCCTGGTGTTGTGGTGTTTATTTGCTTAATTTTTCCCTTTTCTTCTGCAAAACACTTGAAAGCAGCTCCAGTGTGACCTCCAAGCCTGAACAATCTCTAAAATAATATGATGGAACGTACTCTAATGCAACATATGAAAAATCGGAAAATCATATCCCACCCAGCTTTTGAATTTCAGTCAAGGCGAGTGACTAAGTTGAGGTTTACAGGTTAAATAGGTGCAAAACTCATATGGGAAAGGGAGGCAACTCTGTAGTTGTTATAGTTGAGGTTTTTATACCAAATCCAACCAAGATGTGAGGAGTTAACAGGGTAAAACTGCAAGCAAACTCAAAGACCAAAGATTCACATGTCAGATGAGAATAGACAATGTTTATTGCATTATAGTAAGATATGTGGGCAGATTCTAACATGAAATTAATCCTTTTTTCAGTATTCATTGCAGATTTGCTGATTTATATTCCTGCAGTTGTTTTATATTGTAATTGCTTAAGAGAAACATCTACAAAAAAGAAGGCAAGTATCTGATATCTCTGTGTAAATTAAACAAACATACAGTTAAACTATGAGAAACTTAACAGGCTGTGAGTTGATTAATGTACAGAACATCACAATGACTTCAGTTGACATAAAGCTGATGACAATCAATGTATCTTGTATTAAAGACTTTTCAGTTAAAAGAAGCCATTAACTTATTTTACAGCAATTATTTTAATGCATTCAATAACAAGATGCACTGAAGTTTAGTAGCCATGAACTCCTGAATTATTTTTCTGGCCAAATTTATTACTTGCATAGTAAAAGCAGGATTTATGCTGTGAGATGGGGGAGTCTGGGAGCTTCTGCTGTGCATTTTCCTCAAGGTGACACATATAATTTGAACTAAGAAGTCTTCTGATTTTTGAGCAGTTGCAGGGGTTAAGGTGGATGGGGCTCATCTTTAAGCTGGTTGGCAAAGAAAGGATCAGTCTCCTTTCAGTGTTCTCTTACGTATAGAAAAACTTTATTCTTTTTAACTCTTCAAAATATTACTGTCATAAGATTAATCGGAGAAGGTTTCTCTCATTGAGGAGGGTCTATTGAAGGACAAATATTTGCACTGGAGAAGTAGCATGCATTGCAATATGTTTGCCCTTTAAACAATTATTTTCCTTTTCTTTTTTTATCCTTCCTTCCAGATTTCCAGTGCACTCTGTATATTGCTTTATCCAGGCCTAATTCTTATTGACCATGGACATTTTCAGTATCCTTGTATTTGTAGTGAAAAGAATTTCACTTTGTGAATAACACTGTTCTTGTCTTTAGCTGGGAAAAGGTTAACTTTGTATATGAAGCCATGAGTGGGGTTTCTGCCTACAGCAAAGCAGAGGTGTTAACAAAAATTATAACCCTGATAATTAGTTGATGTTCATTGGAGATAATTTGTTGATATTGGGACAAATCAATCAAAATATTGTTTTGTTTACTAAAAAGGTTCAAGTTCATATTAATGTCAGTCACTTTATTGCAAAAAAAAAAATCAATGTTATGTGGACACAATCCTGGAGTTATGATAAATAGGTTTATTTAAATATCCCAAAGGAATATTAATTCACAGCATCTTCTAAAATAAGTTTTGATGATCATGTAATTTAATAACTTATTTTTTTCCTCCAAGAGAGCATGTGATTAGCCTAGAAAATAATGTACCTTAGAAATAAGATTTTGAAGGAAAAAAAATAATAAATGCATTAAGTAAGAGCAAGTGCTATTGGATTAATGCATAAGTTCAGGAGTTCTGAACTTATGTATTTTGCCCTGACTCCTTAAAGGTGTAGAGAACTTGGAGAAGAAAGTGTGAATAAACACATTTCATCTCAGTTTAGAGGAGCTGAGAGGGTGGAAGAAGGGACTGGATTACAGCTTTGGAGTATGTCAAAGATATGCAAAGAGGAAGGCAGCAGTGTGTTTGCTGTAACTTATCTTGGGTAGGACAAGAAGTAAAGACTGTTAACTACTGCAGGGAATATTTGGTTTTAAATCTAAGGAAAAATCTTTCAAATAGTAATTACAGTGAAATGCTGGAATTGATTTCCTGTGGAAGTTGTGGAACTGGCAGCATGAAGGTCTTTAAGAAAAGGCTCAGCAAACACCGTGTCAGGAGTGACACAGGCACCGTCGACGCAGCAGTTGAGCAGATGGACTACGTAGTCTCCTGAGGTGACTTCCAGCCCTGTGACTTGGCATGAATAACTGTGCTACCTGTGGCTGCTCCTAAGAAGGCAGTAGATTTATTTAACTGCTGCGTGTCCTTGCAAGGTCACAGCCTTTTGGTGTAACAGTTTGTTGATGTGAAGCTGAGGAGATTTGAAAATATATGGTGTTTTTTGAGTGGGAAATTGATAGGTTGAAAAAACTTTGTCGGAATGTATTGTCATAGTTATATTGAGAAAGATAAAATATTTGGAAATCTCTGAGGATACAAGTAACTTTTATCTGATTTCTTTTATTGCCTAAAAGTAGAAAGTACAAAAAAAAAAAAAAAGTTTGTATTTTAATAGTAACTGTAGTTTGGTCTCCTTAGGCCTTACTGAGCTTGGGAACCCTTTCCTAAAGTGAGGAGGAGGTAACGCTGCTTTAGGTGGTGGCTGTTACTCACTGTGTAGTATTGGCAGCTGAGGGAATCGGGCACGGATGAGGACGCATTGCGAGTGTGATAATTCCCCACACAGTGGTCCTTGAACTAAAGAAAAATGCATTTTAAATGGTAATATATCTTAATATTCCATACACATCTTTTGGGGCAAGGAAGGAGAGACTCTTGAAAGCCTTACTCTTAATAATGAAAAAATCAAGGAACAGAAGTGAACAATACACATACATGTTTAAGACACACAGATGCAAAACTCATGCTTATTTTTTGTCTGTGCAAAGTTCGAATCAATCCTTGGACATCCACATAGTTGGCCTTAGAAGTAAAATTATTTCTGTTTGTGAGCAAAATAGTCACAAGTGGCAATGCATTTTAAAAAGTAATTTGGAAAAAATGTATTCTGTATGCTGTTTTATCCTTGTCCTTCAGGGCATTTATTTACTAAGTTCAAGTATGAAGAGTTGCTTCTCTTGTTTATCTTGTCCTTGACATAAAAAACCATATACAACTCAGTGAGCCTTGGCTTGGCCTTGTGGGGAATACTCTTTTTGTCTCATGACTGGGACCTTTTGGGTTCAGTGGCATTTTGCCTGGCCTTAAATTACAAGCAAATGGAACTCTACCATTCTGCACCCTTCTTCTGCTATTTACTTGGGAAGTGCTTCAAGAAGGGACTGAGAGGAAAGGGGTAAGTGATTTTAAACCATTTTATTTTGCTCCAGACTGCAGCTGCGCAGCCTGTCAGTGAGAAGGTCGTTTCTGAATGAGCTGGTGGAAGGTGCTCACATTGTCGGAGCGTTTTTCTTGCATGCAAAATAAGTACTTCTGGCTGAGGAGATCCTCATTAAAAATCTAATGGTACTTTTTAGTCCACTGGATAACAAACAGTAACATTAAGCTGTCCTTCCCCTGCACTCTTCCTTCTGTAATCTAAATTAGTGAGGGGCTACGAGGGGCAACCAAATCAGCCCAACAGCAGTAGTTCTGTGGCTGTTCTGACAGTCCTTCTCACCAGGCTGGGCATGAAGAGCTTGCCCTGTAGGACTGGTAGCTTTTGTTACTCAGATTTGCTACCTTTGGCTTATCTGTTTAAAAAAAAAAAAAAAGAAAAAAGAAAAAAAGAAAAAAGAAAAAGAAAACTTAAAGTACTAAATGAAGAAGCTGACTTTTGTTGCAGGCTGGCTCTATCTTTTCTGATGGAAGCTTTTCTTTTAAGTCAGCTTCTTAATTTAGTACTTTGTTACAGGCTGGCTTTATCTTTTCTGATGGAAGCTTTTCTTTTTATTGCAGATTAATATTGTTAATGAAGCTAGGCGGGACAGTGGTGGCTTCCTTTGCTGTCTGCTGGCTCCCGTTCTGCGCGGACGTGGAACAGATCATGCAAGTGCTCCGGAGGCTCTTTCCCATCGATCGAGGCTTGTTTGAGGTATGCCTGTTTGCTTCTCCCCCTCCCTCCGGGAAATGTTCCGTATTCTTAGATCCCTTGAGAAACCTTCATCGTGACCTTTCAGGATTTCATGTGGGGAGACACACCACAGAGCTAGTAACTCGAGATGCCTTCTTCAGCAGTCATTTCTTGCCAGTTATTTAATCCAGTATTTAACCCCAGCTCAGCTGGCATCTTCCAGGATATTATATGAGTAGACAACACTTATCCCATCATCAAACCCATACTTCAATCCATACATTTTTCCATTGAAATGGATTCCATAGTAATTGACAGTGTCAGAAGATACAGCCTTAAAAGTTAACAACTTCAGTGTGTGTCTTCTGGTTCTGCTCAGCTTTTTTAACAGGATTAGTCTAAAAAAAATAGTGTTTTAGGTGGAACCAAGAGCTTCCTTTTTGACCTAACGTGGGGTTTTTTCAGTACAAATTTCCACAGTATTTTCCAAGGATTTTAGACCAGCTCTGCTTTTACTTATACTTAGATTACTGACAATTGCAGGTGCTGAGTGCCACAGCCCTAATCCCACAGAGCAATTACCATTTACCTAAGCTAATGACACAGGCTCATAAGAGAAAGGATCCACTTTTTCCAAGTAAAAGTGACTGGTATTGTGTTCAGTCAGGATGAGGCTTAATATTCCATCCGTTGAAAGCAGATTCTCAGCTTCAAATGTTGACAGAAATGTCAACAGAAAATGAAGCATTGAATTTTCCATGTTTGATTTCCCAGGAATTGAAGCAAATACTTACATAGCCTGCCTAACTTTTAAATTTGGTTTTAATCTTTAGATGTGAACTACAGCACAGACAGCACTCATTTCCTTGAAAAGCTGATGTACCAAAGGCAGCATTTTGTTTAGACTGCAGTATAAAAGTGTTCTCAGAATGTAGTCCCTAGTATTTAAAAAACAAACAAACAAACAAACACCCCAAAAACAACAGAAAAAACCCTGATGTTCCCTTTCCCCTAACAAGACCCTGCTGCTTTGGTACTGCCTGAAATTTATCAATAAATATTTCCGATCACGCTACTTTTTATCTAGCACAAAGTTTAAAAAATCAAAATCTGTAAATGACAAGAATGGATGAGTCTGAAAGTGCCTGAGGATTTTAGTCTAATATTAGTCCAAATATTTTCTGAGCGGGGGAGTGACTTACTGGATGCTAATGTAGATAAAACGAGAAATTGTCCACGTAAGCAATGCCCAGTAAATTTATACTGGGGTGCGTGTAACAGGTTCTTTGAATCGGTTCCCATTTAGAGAAGCGGTAACAAATGCGGCGCTCGCAGGGTCGTGCTGGCTGCGCGGCGGCGTCTCGCGCGCGCCGCTGCCGGCCCCGCGCTGCTCGCAGGCACCCGAGGAAGATGGCTCAGTTGTTGGTGCTAGCAGCTTTCTTGCTGTTATGTCTACACAGCTGTGATTCAAGCAGCTGTTTAGGGATGAGTTTCATGAGCGTGATAGCTGTAGTTACAAATTTAATTTTGAAAGTGATCCTAGCACAACTGCTAATGTCTTTAGACTTCTTGATTTATTAGCAGTTAACTCTGTCATTGCTAGCAAGCAGCGAGTGCAGCTAAATACATTCAGATAGGTAATGAAATGTGACAATATAGAGAATGTCTTCACATCAGAAAGGAAAATTCACGTGTGCTATCACGTGATCAGAAATTTCCTAGAGATGGAGGATTTCAAAGCTTATTCTCCTAAAGTTAGTGGGCTTATGAGTGAAAACATGCAGTCTCAAATAACTTTCTCAGTTATTTTAGCATTTTAAGCCTTTTTTTTGATTTTCTATGTCTGAATGAAGATGAAACTGATGTAAATAGTTACAGATGAGTTATGTATATGAGTGATATACATCTGCAAGTATCTTTTTGCAGTATGATGGTAAAGAAACAAGTCTCCCATCCCCGTTGTCACCAGCATAAGTTAAAATGGGTGCTATTTTTTTTCCCCAGGATAAAGTAGCCAATATTTGGTGCAGTCTAAGTGTCCTTATAAAGATAAAAAATATTGTATCACCTCAAACTCAACTCAAACTCAGGTAAGACATGATTGAAGCGCAAGTTCTTTATTTGAATTAATATTTGCAAGATGGTGTTTTTTCAAAAAACAGAGATGCTTAAAATCCTGAAGAACATTTTTCTTATGCTATATTTTTCTCCCAGGTGATATTTTCCTTAAAGTTATTCTTTAGAGTAATTTTCTGCTTGCTTATATAGTGATTTAAGCTACACAACTGTTATTGCATTTTCAAAACCACTCATGGTACTGAAGATCATTAAGTGCCGCCCTCCTGTGACTGAGGCTTCTTAAGTGACTTTATGCATTTGAAAATTGCTGTTAAATTCTTAACTTGTAATTTTGAAATTTGAAACTGTAAGTTAGAAAATTCTCTGTGATATTCATGTATTAAAGCATGAATTTTTTTTCTTTTAGTTTTGCTGTGACATTCCTGAGCTTGCTTCCGACTTGTATAAAACTGACCCTTGAGCCATCTCTCCGAGGATTTAAGTTTGCTTTGGTAAGTGCATGTTTTTAATTGTTCCTATTTTAAATGCACCACTGAGTGCTGGTGTTTTACAGGATCCTTTCCTAGGATCATCAGCATGTGCAGCCGAACGTCCGCTGTTAAATGTTGTGCTGTTTCTGCTGAAAAGATTTGGCTGAGAAGTTCGTTGCTCTTAGGCCGAGTATCAGAGCGAGTCTTGCAAAGCCTGACTAGTCTTTTAAATCCAGACTTTTTCCCTTAGCCTCCATTTTCTTTATTTAATGCTGTATTTTTATTAGTTTCCTCTGAAGAGCCTTTAGAAGATTCCCTATGCAATAAAGCCATGTATAGAGTTAAAATTTCTCTTCTGTTTTGTTGTGTTTGCAGCGATAGTTTCTCTTAAGGTATTGGCTGCAAAATTCAATAAAAATTCCCACGATGGGCATTGCAAGCTCATTAGTGGTTTGCAGAGAGAATTGTACCACTTTACTGAAATGTTTGCTTTTTCACGTAGATCTTGGAATGTAAATTTAGGCAGAGTAGCATCACTTCAATGCAAAATGATTTCTCTTTGAAATCAAAGTTATATGAAAATAGTGCTGAGGTTTCAAGAGTTATCAAATAATTTCTTTTTTTTAATCCAACTTCTGCTTGAGTGTTTATTGTAGCATCAACCGCAACCACCATTTAGCTTCCTTAAAAACTGGTTTGTGTTTCACAGTATTTTTTATTTGGGAAAAAGAAGAATGACTTTGTTTACTTTGGGATTGACTGTTACTGTGGGATTGACTGTTACTGATGGTGATTAACAAAATTTAACCTCAAAAATTGCATAGTTCTGACTGCGACTTAGCTCTGGTGATGTTCATGTGTGGGAATATTTGTTTACTTCCACAGGGATGATATTTAAGTCAAGTTCAGCAACATGGCACTTTGCTTATGTGAAATGTTTTCTAAATAATTCTGGGTAAACTTTCAAACACTTTTTTTCATAGGTGGTTACAGGAGCAGCACTGTGTGATTTTAGATGGCACAAGAATTAGAAAAATGATGTATTTTTAGACAAACTTTTTTTAGTTAAATTTAG